GCTGCTTAGCAGTATGTATCAAAAACCTCAAATATGTGCACACCTCTTAGTGAGGATATTCACCCAAATCTTAAAGAAATAAAGATGTGGGGGCTCTGGGTGGCTCAGTTGGTTAAGCAACTGCCTTCAGCTTAGGTCATGATCTCAGGGTCCTGGGATCAAGCCCCACATCAGGCTCCCTGCTCGGCAGGAAGCCTGTTCTCCCTCTCCCTCTGCCCCTCCTCCCTGCTTGTGCTCTCTCTTAAATGAATAAAATCTTAATAAAAATTAAAATGTGCATAAAGACATGACTACAAAGATGCCTGTGATAAGAATATTGCATTACTTATCATAAAAAAATTAACATGTATTACTGCAGTTCCTTCATCCACATATCCATCAGTAAATATACACAAAAATATTTATTGTCATCTATAGATTTCAGAATATAATTTTAAAAAACACATTATCAAACAATATATTCAATATTATTTTATCTTTCAGAAATATACAAAACAGATAATGTGGAAATTACACACCAAAGTGTTAAAAGTGGTTTTCTTCATGGGAGGTGAAATAAGATGATGTTGCTTTTACTTTTCTTCTCTTTTCTTAATCTGTATTTTCTAATTTTTCCATAATAAAGGAAAAAGTTACTTTTGAAAAGAAATAGTTGATAGTATGTACCCTTAATATGATGTGATAAAAATGGCACCTCATCTCTCTGGTCTTCCTCCACAAAACCCATGAGAAAAATATAATCATAAAAGAAACATCAAATTCCAAGAGGGGCTTCCTACAAAATAGTTGACCAGTACTTCTCGAACTGTCAAGGTCATCAAAAACAAGGAAAATTAAGAGGAACCTAAGGAATCATGATTCCTAAATGTGATGTGGTATCCTGGATGTAATCCTGGAACAGAAAAAGGACATCAGGCAAAAACTAGGACATCTAAATAAACTATGGACATCAGTTAATAATAATGGGTCAATATTAGTTCATTAATTGTAACAAAGATTCCAGGCTGGTGTTAAGATGTTAATAGAGGAAAATGGGTGCAGAGTATAGGGAAATTCTTTGCACTAATTTTTCAGGTAATCTAAAACTGTTCTAAAAAACTAAAAGGTATTTCTAAAAAGAGAAATAAATAATAGTATCTTGAGTTTAATTTTTACTGTTCTTCAGTTTCAGAACACACACACACGTACAGAGAGACAGAGGGAAAAGGAGAATGAATATTAGGGTTTTTTAAACATATTATAAAAGGAGTTCCTTACAATACACTACATATTTATCAATACACACAACATCTGTATAAGTAATAGATATGGTGTAAATATGTCTGTACAGATCTCATCTACTTAAACCACTCCTATTTACACAGAAATAGAAATACAAGATAAAAAATATAATTCACAGAAATAGAATTATATAAGAAGTATAAAATATATTACATTGCATCTTCATGTGCTGTAAGATGTGGCGAACCTTTAGCAGAAGGCTTATTTCGCTCGGTTAACAAGTTAGGCATCCCTAATTTCTTTTTTTACTGAATGCTGACCACTAAAATAGCACATCATGTACTCCTAGAGGGAGCCAAGTCAGAGAGCAGAGAAAGTGCTTGCTAAAATAATTTTCTCTTCTTTCCCAAAAGGGAAAAAGTCAGCAGTGGTGACCAGTCCTGCTGAGCCCCATGGAAGTCAGTTCCCCTAAGTCCAAATAAACTGTAGTCCCTTATGAAGCCTGCTGAGAAGACCAAAGGGAAAAGGCATTCCACTTGTTAAATGTTTATTATTTGAACTTCGCAGCCAACTATAATAAGGGAGAGGGAAGCTGTCTGCAAGCTGCATGCAGATTTAGCTACTCAAATTCCATGAATGTGAAATAGAACACCGAGTCTAAACCCTTAAAATTTACTAAGCAGTAGCTTGAGGGAGGTGGCAGTTGAGAATAAAAGCTGGAGCCGCTAATATTTGGGTCAGTGATTTGAAAGCAGCTCAAGTCAACAAAGAACTAAAATTCTCGACACTGGGAAAACTGTGGCTTCCTCTTGTTCTAAGAATCACAATCCAGCAGAGAAAAGGTACAAATCTATTCTCTCCTATATCTCCTCTCACTTTGATCTACGAATAAATATTTTTACTTTTTCCTCAAAGCTGAATTCTTATCTATTAAACTGCTGGTGGGTGGGACCACTACAAGCTAAACCTTTTTTCACTAATCCTGTGATTCACAGGATGTCTTCTAGCTGAAACTCAATGACCACTCACTCTGTCCTTATTCTCCACCTTCCCAGCTGAATGTGGTGGAAATCCTTTTACCATGACAGTGATGTGATGTCTCAGGTTGGATATATCCACAGGAATGTGCTTTATATTACTGTAGGATTTTGGCTATGAGTACTAATTAAATTTAAAGGGCAGAAGCAGAATACATTTTAGTAGATATCATGATGAAGTAAGTCTACTTGAAAAAATAAAACATATTATTTTTACATAACATATGTATGTATTATTTTCCAAATTCCCAGGCTAATTATAGCTCAAATTAAAATAAAGTAATAACAAACTGGAGAAAAATCTTTTTTGAGATGAACTGAATCTTTAACCCTCTAAAATACAAGACATAAGGAAGAATGAAGTTGAAAGTAAAAAGGTTTGATTGTCATGTAAATACGAACCAACAGATTTACAGTAAAGTTTTGGGCTCAAGGACTGGTTCTGCTGCTAATGGTCTGTCTTCTTGGGCAAAAAAGTTCAGCCCTTTGAGCTCCAGTTTTCCCAACCCTAAAATGAAGATATAGATCTGATGTTTCCTCAAGGTTAAGATGAGGATCAAAAATCTTTTACGAAGTATATGTTGAATTAAAAGAGAATTAATATGAAAACTGGATCAATGGTATATTTTAACCAATCATGTACTAGATGATAATAGGAATAACTATCAACAATTAAATGTCTAATATGTGTGGGGCGCCTGGGTGGCTCAGTCAGTTAGGCGTCCAACTCTTGATTTTGGCTCATCACGATCTCAGGGTCCTGGGATCCAGCCTTGTTGGGCTCCATGCTCAGCTGGGAGTCTGCCTGAGAGCCTCTCTCTCTCCCCCTCCCCATTTGTGCACTAATAATTTTTTTAAAAATTAAAAATAAACGCCTAATATGTGCAAGAACATATTATATGAGGTCCTTTATATTTTAATCCTCATTTTAACCCCCAAGGGACATCTATAATCTACTTAATAGAAAAAACCTGATGAGAAAACAGGCTCAGAAAAGCCAAGAAACTTGCCCAGGATCACAAAGCTAGTGATAAATGGCAAAACTACAAATCAAAACAAAATCTGGGTCTCAACACCATGCTCTTTCCACTAGCCATTTAGAACTAATCTAGCATGAACAGGAAACAAGGCATTCACAGCAGTAAATTTTCCAGATAACTACATTTTAACTTCAAAATTTTATGTAAATCTGTCTAAAAAATATAATGTATACATCCTTTTTTGCTTTTATTAACTAAGCAAAGATGAAGGCTTTCCTCAAAACTCAGGATCATGACTGTAGGCATTTTGAGGTAGATCACAGCTGTAGTTCCTGTAGTTTTCTCCTCGCTAAGGCCGAGCTAGCTGACTGAAACACTGGTATTACCTCTTCTAGCCCTCTGCCCCAGCTACTCTACAGTCAGGAACTCAGAGAACTCACGGGATACAAACAAATCTAAGTCAATAAGGCCCTGGGATAAAAGCCTGAGGGTGGCTCCCACTAAATACACCATATATGCTAGTTGTGCTATTTGCATCCTAGCTTCCTTGTGGATTGCAGCTGTAATCTGTCAAGATGAGAGTCCCTAAAGATTGACCCTCCAGATAAATGGAGCCTTACTAAACTGAATTAACACCTTGTTTCACAGGAGTACCCCATCACTTGAGATTTCAATTTTCTGAATGTCATTTTACTGTTTTGAAAATGGAATCACAGGATTAAAATACTTAACTTCTAAAACTTATTGTAGAGCAAACCCTTCAGGAGATTCATACACTTGTATTTAGTTGCATGATACCTGAAACACAACAGGTGATAAACACTTTCCTGGAACAATAACGATGGTAAACTCAGTCTGAAACTAGAGACTGGCCCATGGGGATCTGGCATTTGAATGCATTCAAGAAAGTCTCTCCTTAGCCTAAATGCAGTCTCTGCCAAACACCCATCTTTCGTCCTTCTCCTACACCAGCAGAAGGAATGACTGGATAAATGCCTCTTTGTTCGTCAAGGATAACGAGTAGCACACAGCACGTAGCTGCTCACAAGTATGTCTCCCTCTCCCTGCCCAGGCAAATGTAAACACCCTGCTGGAAGGGAGAGCTTTATCCTCATCTTTTGTACTCTACTCCCAGAGCCTTGCATAGCTCCTTCCAGACCACAAGTGCCTCAAGAATGTACATCCCATCCTTCATTCACCTTTTAAGTGTTTAATGGTACCAAAATGTGTTCCCTCTTCTACCACCCCACTCCCTCCCCCATCAGTCCCTACAAGGGATGATAAGGCCCTCCCTTTTCATGAGATTGCTAAAGTATCTGTGTTAAATAGTGGTATAAAAGACAGAATCCCCATTTTAAAAGTAAGGTCACAGGAAAGATCCTAGGGGAAATTAATGTTTATTTTCTCACATGCCATTGATAAATGACATGTACCTGCCTTCAACACACAGTATGAATAAAGATAATATGTCCTTGCCTTAATAATAAAAGATACATAACCTGAGTCATAGAATTTACTCTGTATATTTTAACTTTACTTCAACTTCATCATTTTTACCTTATTGAAACTGATGTACCTATTGGTACTGAAGACAGTACAATATCAATAGTTGAGGTTTCTGTTCATTCTGATTTCAGACATTTATACTTCATTAGAAATAACTAAAGCCTTCTGTCCCACCTAGTCATGTCATGCCTGGTGCCACTCAATTACATGTATCATCAGTACTATTAATGTCTATAGTAAACGATTTTCTTAATACCTCTTCACTTTGGATTTTTTCCAGTTGACTTTTTTAATACCCAAATCCACATATGATTCAGTGAGTTCTATATTTAATTCTCCTTCTGAGTCACTTGGAAGTATTCCTAATTTTGCAGCAGATTCATAGAGAGAAATTTCATCTTTTAGTTCTGTTAATTCTTCCTAAAACACAAAATTATTGAGAATTATTTTCTTATATGAAAGAATCAGTCATTCATTTATGCTTCAAAATTCATTTTAATGATCAGAAATGCTTCTTCACATACATTAAAAATAACTAAAATAATGCTGCTATGAACATGGGTGTACAATATATATATTAATAACTTTATATATATGTATATATAACTTCAGAAAGGCCAGCACATATCAGTTTTCAAGTAAACTGAACGAACAAATGAATAAATGAACGAGAAAGCAAATGTAAGGAGCTTCTTTCACACCTCCCTCGCTTACATTTTGTCCTCCACAAAAAGTGTCCCTTGAGCTGAGAAACTGACAGCAGCACTTTTTGGCTTTCTAGAGGACAGAGTGGACTGGTTTGCCAAGAACGTGTTGTACTTTAGTCTGCCGGTGGGAAAAGGCAAAATATGTCTTTCCAGCAGAGGTAATACTGGAACTCTTCCTCCAGTGGAAAATGTAAGTAGCGCTGGGGGAGGATGTGAGAGAGTCGCAGTGAAACTGCAGGTCTCCCACACCTGTAGATATACTTATCTCCAGGATACACCCAGAAATGAAAGGACACGCCATGTGAAGGAGGCGACAGGCAGACTGATGGGGCCGGGGGGGGGGGGGGGGGGCAGCGCCTGGCTCTGCAGTCAAGACAGACCTGGGCTTGACTACCTAACTGTGTGGGTGAGACTGTGAACAACTCTCAGTGCCTGGTCTGGAGATGGTCCAACTACCTCTTTTATAAAGAAATCCAAGGTTCAGAAAAGTGATGTAAGCACTGCCTAATTCAGTTACCCACAGAGTCTCTTCCAAGTGGCAACACTCACTTGCAAAGCCTTGTTCATGTTTTCACTCATAGCATGTGCTTTTTGTGCTTGCTGCAGCTGGAACCGTAGCTGAGCCACCTCCTGTACGGAGCCTATGGGGAAAAAAGTCATAGAGTACACCAAAGGTAAAGGGACAAAGTACCCACGATGTACAGATGAACACTGAGGTTACAGAAGGTGGAGTTTTGCTTTATTACCTTTTCATTACCTTTCTAGGAGCACAAAGGTGTAGCCAGTGGGACCCAGAAGGCAGAGGTCCAGACACTTCCAAAACATGTCTACACATTTAGTGTGGCTCATCATATGTCCTTGGGAAGTTGAAGACTTGGGATTACTGTGACCTTGCTATGAATCAAATCAGCCACGTCTACAGACCTTAATACTCCACGAGTCCTTTAATAGGAGCATAACGTTCCAACTCACAGAAAGCCAAAGCAAAAATTCTTTGGAACCCATTTCTACCCTCTAATAAGAAAACTACATCTTGCTGCCTTTAGCTGCTTTCGAAATGCTTTTATTTCCACCACCCCCACCTCCACATGTGAAAAAAGCATATTCGGGCCATGCTTCGGAAACTTCGGTAACCTAATGTTTTAAATGTACTACGGGAGGCTCCCTTAAAAGGGACTTTATTGGGCCTCCTCAAAAGAAAATGAGCATCTGGGAAATGGTTAAGCAAAGTAATGACGGCATATTATGCAACTAAAGAAAATCGTATTTTCAAAGCCTTTAGTGGCAAGAAAAAAGGCTCACTAAATAATACCATGTGAAACAAGGATACAAAAATGAACGGGGGGTGGGGGGGTCCAAACAGGGTATGAGCCAATTTTGCCCCCACCAAAACCTACACACACACATATTTGACAGTCTCTGACTTTAGTACTTTCAACTTCTGAGTAAGCTACTCTGATACACATTGTACCAACAGTCTGAATTGGCTTTACATGCCAAGTGTGACTTTCATATGTCAGGTCATGAATAACCACTGAGCTATTTTCACAGCAGGAGCTACTCACCAGTACACAGGGCAGTTTTGTTGGTAGGATAGTTTGCATAAACATGCGATTATTTTATTGCCTTTTACTCTAATGTCATTCTATAAAAATGAATTAGAAATAAAAGTACTGCTGAAACTAATGACAAACAGTGTATGTCTCAAACTTAATACCATGGAAACCATATGAGAAATCTTAAGCATGACAAAAATATAACTCCCTAGCTTCAACTGACCAGGTAAGTGTGAGAGGAAAAAAAAAAATTAAAGAAAGAAGTTTCACAAAATGACAGAAATACATGATCAGACTGATTCTAAAAAGCAAAATATAATGGGATTTCATAATCATTTTTACTTCCCAAGGATAAAACCTACCTTCTAACATATATTTTATTGTTTAATTTTTGTATATTCAGCTTTGGTATGTTTTCAAAAATGCACTATGTGCAGAAGCAGGGAATTACCTATGTGTATGTGTTCAATTTCACTTGAAGGCAATACATTAAAAACATTAGCAACAGTTATCTCTGTGTAGTAGGATGATTGGTTATTTGTATTTGCTACTTTGTACTTGTCTGTGTTCTCTAAATTATCTAATGAAAATGCAGTATACCTTTATACATATATGATAACAATGCTAAAAAAAATTGTCACTGACAATCTTTTCTGCCTTTGCTGGATTTTTATAACTCATGGATCCTACTATGTTTGCTCTGCACATTATACTAGCCTCCCGGGGAGACAAGAGTCCATCCCGGACACCCACCTGAGTGCAAGAAGTTGGCACACTGCTTCTGACTCTCCTCTAGACTTCTCGTCAATCTGTTAATGATCTCAGTCCTTTCTAATTTGGTTGCTTCTTGATTCCTTTCCAGTTCTTTCACTTGATCTTTCAAATGACAACAAATATCTTCCTAAGTAGAAAAAGTATTCAAGAAGTCATTGTCATGATCACTTATTAAATACTGAACTAACAAATATAATACATAATTGGATTTTAGGTCAAACATAAAATCATCACAGAGCAGCGTCACCTCTTTTACAAGGTTAAGTGCACAGGACTGGGAGTTAGAACAAACTTTTATGATCTCGGGTGAGTCATCAACTTCTCCATCTGTTTTTTCTTTTGTAATTATGCTAATAAAGGTTAAATTCAGTGATTTCTAAAGTCCTTTCTGTTCTACAATCACAAGACACTGATATTCTAAAATTAGATTCTATTCAAGCCAAAGAAAATGTATTACACTCCTATTTGCATGTTACACTATCAGTATAAGTGTATGTATATATATTTAGGCAGACCACTTTGAACCATGGAATCTGTATCCCAAGACAGCAAGGATTCAGATAAATACATGGAAACTCGCTCTATTCTGAAGAGCCAAAAGCTCATTCTACTTTGGCAGCCAAAAATAATCTCACTCTCTTCTGAACTTCTTTTATACTTAATCTGTTTCTCTGTTTTTCTTTCTACCTTTTACATGTCTTATTTTTCTTAATAAAGTCTCCTTGAAGGTACCTATGCAGTGCCTTACACACAGTGAGTGCTACAAAAACAAAGGAACAAACAACCTTTAAAAATAAATTACAAAGAAAACCAGACAGGATAAATGTGTGTATGTGTGTGCACACATTTGTGTAACTGTAAGGGAATATATAGAAAAATATGGAGCATGTATACAATATATTAAAATTTCTTCAAAAAGAAAAAGGTGTTTGGGAGTAATAAGCCATGGAAGTCCCAAGACTAGGCAGAAGAAATCATCACTTCTCATTTAAAAAAGACTACACAGGCTGAATTCCACAAGAAAGGCAGAGAATGAGACAGGCAGGAGTAAGTTAATTGGCCAAAGTTACCTGAAAAGGCCTGAAGAAAATAAGTGGTAAAAAGAAAAGGGCTTTGAAGCAAAGAAAAGGCATGTGGGGCCTGATCCATTGGATAACTTAAAGCCCAAAAATGCCTTAAGGATAGTAACACAAGGTACACCTTATAAGGATACTGACAGCATCATTAAGCGGAGGAAAGACTCTGAAGTCTCCTATTTTAGTTAAAAAATTCATGTGAATTTTGCATTCTATTTCGTAATGTAGTCATGTCTGCTTTAAATTTTTTCTACCAAATTTCTGAGCAAAATGAAGCTTCTGGAAACTGCTCCATGTTTATTCAACAGTGCAAACCTCTTGGCACACTGCTGCTGATTCCCAGGCCAGCTTGAAAAGCATGGTTCTAAAGCGCCAAAATAACATGGCAAACACAATGAATGGGCTAACATTAATGACAGTGTGAATGTGTGTGTGAGAAGGGGTGGGGAGACAACATTTATGGGCCGGGGAGGCCGTAATAACTTTTATAAGAGACTGAGAACTGGCAAAAAGAAAGTTCAAGAAAAGGTAGATTTGAAAAACATAAAGAGAAGGCTGACTGTGGCAATATTGCAACGATCGACTGAACCACATTGTTTCCTGTTGACAAGTTCAGGGAAACCAATTACACTCAAAAACCTGCTCAGTTTCAATACCAAGAAACAAAATGAGTGGTTCCTTCTTTTCTATGGGTAGCTTGAGCGAGAACATTCAACTCAAGATGGTTAAAGGCAGACAGCTTTAAGACTGAACAAGTGTGGGGACAGAGATAATAGCCAAATCTATGGGAGCAAATAGAATTGAACAGATTTCTAGTGCACAGAGACATGAGGATTAGACCACACAGAGGTCTGTGGGAACCTCTAAGCCAAGAGAAGGTGTTTCAAGTGGAGCCTTTAAATATAACGTTAAAGGAAAGTTGGAAAGTAGACCAGGCAAAAGTCATGACATAGAAACCAAAGTCCACAACTTCACCCGAAGCTGCAGATTTCAAGACCAGAATGAAGAAAGATTTTATACCATCAAGGAGATAATCAGAGATCTTAACCTGACATTCAGAGACCTCAGAAAATGACACTTCCATGAATGGGAGACAGAAGACAGGAGGGAGAGTCCAGGAGATGGTTTGCTATTAGAGAGTTCTGTCACTGAAGGAACACGGAGCTCCCAAGAAGCTTTGGCTGAGTATCATAATAATGATTAGTTTACAATTGTAGTCCTTTCCCACCAAAAACTAGTTTTTCACAAAGCAGTGATTTTTAACCTTTTGCAAGGGGAGACATGAACCTCTTGGAAAAGCTGAATAAGTTTGTGGGTCTTCTCAAAAAAACCACATTTATTGACACCCAAAAGAAAATCATACCCACAATTTGAGAGGATCCATCAAAGCCCTGGCGTCTAGTCATAAAGTGCCTTAGGGGATGCCAGGTTTAAAAGTCTGTGTAACTAGCACAACGTGTGAACATCGGCTCTGTTAACACTGTAGTGTAAACTCTGTTAACACTATAGCACATAGGGACACAGCTGTATGTAACTATGTGAGAGCTGCTCAGAACCTAGAAATTGGCAAACTTATTCATCTACTAAATTATCCAGTTATTTGTACCTTGCTACTATCTTCCAAGAATTGTTTTATTTGTCTTAGTAATGTGCTAAATGGAACATAGGAAAAGATTTATCTGAAAGGGAAATATTTAATATACCTCTTCAATAATTTTATAAAGAAAAAGAGGGCAAGGGGCAAAATGCAGAATGTATGTATGGTTATCAGCTACTCTAAGAAATCAAGCCCCTCTGTATAGAACACTCATAGATTTTTCTGATTATAGGCAGGCACCTCTACCTAGCTCCTGGTTGATCTTTACAGCAACTTTCTAGTCAGGAATCTCAATTTGGATTCTAAGATAATATGGATTGTCTTTTTATTAAAAATACTGCTGAGCCAACTGATGCCAAATTGACAGCACAAAAGAAATACTCTAAGAAACATTCCCCAAAGGAAAAACTATAAACACTTTGGAATCATCACTTTGCAAAGCAGCTATGCAATTATATCCAGAGACTAACATCAGTGTATGGTCTGTTTAAAAAAAATAAAATAAAATCAGTCACAGAGTGTAACAGTGGAAAAGACCTTAATCAACAACTTCAATTTGTGGTTCAGGGGTCTGAAGCCCAGTCAGCACAGAATCAAGACTTTGTTCTGTGTTCTAGTCCAGTGTCTTTCTATTGAAGCAGGTGGGGTGGGGGGTAGTGGTGAAAACAGAGAATGGAGTGGACACAGGGGTTGAACACAGCAAGAATTTCTTCTAGCCCTCCCCTGTGTAACATGTCAAAGTCAGCAGAGAATGGAGAGATTCTCAACCCTGCAAGGAAAAGCCACCAGATTCCACCCCTCTAGTCATCCAAGAAGGACCACTGTCCAAGTCCAACTAACTTTAATGCTACTACATAAACACAGCCAAAATAAATAAAACTATATCTCAAATGCCATTTGTTTAAATACTAAAGATTTTTTCAATAATTTGGCATAGCCTTTGTCTTTCCCCAGATAGCCTCCACACCAAACTCACAATATTTTTCTATACAAAAAAAAGTATATTTAGGAAAATAAATCTAATAAAAACTCATATAAACACATATAAAAATAACATGGTATACAATTATTACTGGCAATAATGCAGTACTTATGTACATAATCTTATGTACTTCTACCTAACACATGGAAAAATTTAGTCAGTCATATAAATAAAAAATAACAACCCAAATCAGGATGAATTTTAAGGGTGGTGGGATTGGCCATACCCTCCCATCTTACTTTTCAGCTCTTTTCCCTTGGGTTAAATTAATTCTGAAATTACAAGAAGAAAAGTGCACTCTGAAATTTTATTCGTTCAAGTGATTACCTGGGGTTTGTTTGGGACACAAGCAAACCCACCACCTGAGTCACCCTCATCTTACACTTTATTCCCTTTGGGGCAAAAATAATACAGACTGTGAGAGATGCTCAAGTTTCACATCTCAGTGATTTTAGACCAGACTTTCCTCCTTATGTTATTACATTATTCTCAAAAATTAACTCTTCTCCCAAGAACCACTTCTAGACAATATTTACTGACAGGTAAATTGCCCAAGAAAGGCTTTCTACTGGTTAAGCTACCAGGACAACCTCTCAAGACCAGCTCCCAGAACACTCACTCTTTTCAGTATGGATTTACTCTAGGGCAACAAGAACAGTATGTATAAATACTCTACAAATAAAGGACTAGTATTGTGAGAATTGAGAAAGCACTAACCAATTATAAGAGAAAGAATTTCCAAAATTAAGCCTTCAGGACATCTTCACAGATTAAAAATCATTGGCTTTTAAGTTTTACTCATAAACACCTACTGCAAGCATGCTGAACCACAAAATATCAGTTACAAAAAATAACCAGCCTTACTCGTTTAGAACAGTTGCTCATGTGAAATCATCCTAACCTGTTCCTTAAGCGCAGTAACTGTAGCATCCAATTTCCTTTGTAAGGACAACACTTGCTCTTCATGCTTCTTCGTGAGGCCCATCACAATGCTCTCATGCTGCTCTCTAGCACGCTGAAGTGATTCTGAATGACGGAGGTCCAGCAGCTGCTGCTTCAGGCTCTCCAGAGCCATTTCAGTTGTCCTGGACTTCTTAATCATCTAGTGGATACACACAGGATAGCCATGTTTACGCTATTTTGACTCTGTGCTCTCTTTATGGACTGTAACGCTAAAAATCAACCATCCTTTAAGAAGAATATAGACAAGGAAAGGGTCTCCCTACAGTGGCTTTAGTTTCTTAAGACTTCTCTAGCTGGGACCCATCAGGCCCATGGTTGCTGGAAACATCCACTGAGAAAAACACTATGTAGTTACCTGAGGAGAGCGATGGAGGATTTTGCTCAGCATGACAGCGATGTGGGTACCAGACAAGGAATCTGCTGCTACAACAGTGGTCCCAGTGCTGTTGGCATTGCTCTGTGAGCCAAGTGTGGGGGCCAATCCAATTGCTGGGTCACAGAAAAATGACAACTGTTTCTTGACTGATAAAAATTGTCAACGATCACTTGTTAACAACAAAGTTTTGAAAACTGTACCTATACAGTTGTTGAATAATAATGGTGTACTAGGCTAAATAATGGTTCCCAAAAGAGGTCCATGTCCTAATCCCTAAACCCTGTGAATATGTTATGTTACATGGCAAGGGAAAAAGTAAGGCTGTAGACCAAATTAAAACTGCTAATCAGATGACCTTAAAATAAAAACAATTATCCTGGATTATCTGAGTGGGTCCAATATATCCAGAAAGGTCCTTAAATGAGGAAAATTGAGGCAGGAAAGTCAGAACCAGTGACTTCTGGCTCTGAAGATGAAAATGGGCCACAAACCAAGGAATGCCGCTGGCCTCCAGGAGCTGGAAAAGGCAAGAAAATGGATCCTCCCCTAGAGCCTCCAAAAAGCAACACAGCCCTGTTGACACTTTGATTTTTACCCAGTGAGACCCATGTCAGACTTCTACGCATTGTTTCAAGCCATTAAATTTATGCCAATGATAGAAAATCAGTACACTAGGTGATTCTGTTGTTGCTTTTGTTTTCATTATGCCTTATTTTTTATACATGCAACATCTAACTTATAAAAAGATCTAAAAGTTGTAACATTTTACTACATAAAAGCAATTCAACTTTTTATAAGAACTATCAATTTTCAAAAAGTTAAAAATGCTCATAGTCTCTTACACAAAAATTAAAATTTCAAATGAGGCTTATTTTTCATTTCTATTCCGGAGATTGACTATTCGAATACTGTTTAAAGTGCTTATGACATTTATTCATTTGCTCAATAAATAATGTGAATACTTCAGGCAGAACTTAGGCAGGATTCTAAGCACTTAAGGACATGATGACAAGACCGGCAAGGTCCAAACTCTTACTATTTTCTAGTGAGAAGAGATAAACAATAACAAGTAAACAAATGAGATCATTTCAGATAGTTTTAAAATAGAGTAATAGCCTATGGCATGATGAAGGAGAGTAGGAATATGGAGCTATGGGCTACTCTAGATATAAGGCGGCTTGTTTTAGCTGACACCTGAAGGATAAGGAACCAGATATGAGACAGCATTGTTTAAATTCTTTCATGAAACCATCCTCAGAACTAGGCACACATCTCATCCAAAACCAAACTCAGATTTTATAGTCACTTTCAATTTTTTTTTATTATGTTGTGTTAATCACCATACATTACATCATTAGTTTTTGATGTAGTCTTCCATGATTCATTGTTTGCGTATAACACCCAGTGCTCCATCCAATACATGCCCTCTTTAATACCCCTCACCAGGCTTGTCACTTTCAGTTTTAACCACCCTCTTTCCCCACCTCCAAAATGGTATCACTCTCATGAGTCACCCCCCACCAAGCTTGGCTACCAATGACTTGTGACCATTTCCAACCATTAAATGGCTATCTATCTCATTAATCAAAGAATGTGCCACCACTTTTGTCTTTTTTTTTTTAAGATTTTAAGTAACCTGTACACGCAACGTGGGGCTCGAACCCACAACCCCCAGATCAAGAGTCACACGTTCCACCAACTGAGCCAGCCAGGCTTCCCTGTGCCACCACTTTAAAGGCAAGTCTACTGGGGTCAGGAAATTTAGGTGCTGCTGTTTTGTCAATAACTGGCTTTGTAACCTTGGGCAAGTAATTTTGACCTCTCCAAAACTTGATTAACTCATCGATAAAATGGTAAACACAATGCCTCATGCCTCACCAATCAAAATCTCAACAAGATTTTTTACAAACATAAAAAGTTGATATGCAAAATTTAGAAAAGAAAATGTGAGAAAGAGCTACAATTTTTTTTAAGAATACTAACTGTAGCCCTTGTTTACCACATTTCAAAACACACCATAAAACTATAGTCGTGATAGTATCAGAGCGGAAAAGAGAAATATGTAAGACAAAATATGTACAGGTTACATCAGTTTTCACCAACAACATTCACTCAACATATACTGACCATCTATTATTATGTGCTGGAAGGCAGGGAAGACTCAGGAAAAGGAAACCCATGAGCAGGGGCTGTTAACCAATTAGAGTGTGCTGGGGGAAGGACCTTCCAGTGAGAAGAGACGGTGTATACAAGTACATAAAAATAACACACACACTACTGAGTTTGAGGAAAATAAGGGAAGAGGTAGGCAAGGATCACATGGCCATTTCCATGCCACACTTCATCCCACAAGTAAAGTGGGGTTAGGCCTTAAGCAAGGGAAAAACAATCAGTATTTTAGAAAGATTGGCCATAAGAGAGAATTTGGAGAAGTAGTCAAAGACTAGAGACTAGGGGCGCCTGGGTGGCTCAGTGAGTTAAGTGTCCAACTCTCAATTTCAGCTCAGGTCATGATCTCAGGGTCATGAAACGAAGCCTGCGTTGGGCTCCATGCTGGGCATGGAGCCTGCTTAAGATTATCTCTCTCCATCTTTAAAAAAAAAAAAAAAAAAAGATTATCTCTCTCCTTCTCCCTCCCCCCCCACCCCCCCACCCCCACCCCCGCCAAAAAAAAAGACTAGGGACTAGTTAAGACACTTGTACAACAAATGGTAAAATCCCGAATCAGGGACATGTGGACAGAAATGCGGAGACTCAACAGAAGGTAGCAGCTGACTGGATGAAAGGGAAGAGACAAGCTGAGGTCTCCTGCAGACTTTTATCTGGTGCGCAGGTGCCTGGGCTGATGTGAGCACCGTCCCTCCAAAGTAAGGGAAACAAAAGCAGGCTTATGGTGGAAGAAGATATAAACTGCAAGTTCTGCTAAATTTAGTCCTACATTACCAAAAGTTAAGTAAACTTTTCACTGTAATAAATAACCTTTTACCATAAATAATCATGACAAATACTTACCTGTTCTTCGTTCACTTTTAGTGCTTGTATTTGGGTCTCCAGCACTTTTATTTGTGCTTCAAGCTGTATCTCTCTCTCTTTTCCATTCTGAAAGAGTTTCTGTGATTCTCGGAGGCTGAGGGTCAAGCCATCCTTTTCATCTACAACATTAAAAATGTTTATATAAATAATAAGTTACTGTTATAGTAACTTATTTTCACAATTTCTTATCAAATATCAGATCTGTATCATATAAATGTTGGTGCAATTCAGATAGTAAACTTCAGTTGATTTAGGGAAAACCAGGCAAGTTCAAAAAAAAGAATGCCTGAGTGGTACCAAAAAACTGAGAAAACCAGAACCACTTCCCTCAAAAATCTTACTGTATACTTTTGAGAACCACAAGATTTCCTAACAATGATTTTAGCATTTGTTTACTTGAGAAGCTACATAGATGTGACAAGTCCCTGCTAATCAAAGAAGGAATCTGAGGACTATTTGCTTTCATTGCATATATGCAATGAACTTTTAAATTCACCTAATCTTAAATTCTTCCCACATACTTTACTGTAACAGTTTACAAGTTCTTCTCTCAAAATAAATTTTATAAACATTACAGAAAGGGACCTTTTCACTATCAATTAAGTTTGAAACAAGCTAGAGTTCAGTCACAAAATTATTCTACAAATGAAAAGTTCACCACTGACCAAAACTACAGAAAGCACGAAGAGTAAGCAATTATAACTTGAAACTGTGTTTCCTCTATGTGCTTCTCCCAGTAATGGCTCTATTTTTCTCCTTGACATGCCCAACGGAGTTCAGGATCACTAACTCACTTGGATTAAAATCCTACATTAACTTGCAGGCTTAGAAAATGTACTGCAAGCTAAACACAAGTCTCTCTGGGAATTGGAATACTTCAGCCAAGGTAAACTACATAAGGAATCAACAACTTATTAGGACAGAATGCTATCAGCATAGTTAAATAATGTTCACTGATAGAAGAGAAAGAGGGAGAAAATGAGGACCTTGAAATAGAATGTTCTAGTGAGAAGTAATCCAAGGCAAGGTGTCAAAAGTCCTGGGTTTTTGTTTCATTCTGATGGACTCATTATGAGCCCTCTGACCAAGTGCATCCACTCTAAGCTTCATATTTAAAATGAGCTGTTAGAAACAAGGTATCTAGCTTTAGTATACCTCATAAATGACAGCACCCAACAGGTGTCATCTTACCTTTGATTATTAGAAGCTGGTGATTCAAATATCTAATTTGATGCTCACTTTCATTTAACTTTTCAACTAAATTGTCTAGTTGTCTCTCTTTTGCTTTGTTAAGAACCTGAAGTTGGATAATCTGCATATTTTCTGCAGAATCTGCATTAAAATTAAAGATAATTTATTAGATAAAAGCATACCCAAATGTAAATTTGTGGATACAACTCATTAGTATCATGAAATCAATTCAATGGATTGTGACTAGCATTTTTTTTAAAAAAATAAGACAGAATATATCAGAGTGCAGCATGAATAATGATCATTTCGTGAAACATTTGTTTTAGTTATACATACTTATTTACAAAGATCCTCATCACAATGTAAAAAAGGTACTTCTTACTGTGGTCACTGCCAGAAAAGTTTAAGAAGTCACTGGTCTAGAGTATAACCCTGAGTCACTACCATTTTGGCTAAAGAAAAAGCATATACCAATTACAATGGAACAGAGTTCTATGCTCTCATAAAATTGGGGGGAAAAAGTACATCAGCTTCTACAAAGCCATTTTTAAAGAAAATTTCTAGAAATTCTTCTCAAAATATTTTAAACAGGAGAGGGAATTACATCATATTCATGTTCATGCTAGCACATAACTGCTGTATTAATAAATCAGTGAATAAGTTAATAAAGAATTTTGAGGTCTCCTTTCAGAAATGATTAAAGTCATTTTAGGGACCACTTAAAAATGACTGGGGGGAAAAGAGAAAAAGTGATGTGGAGGAGGAGGATAGTGCTTCAACAACAAAATGACAAATACTTTTCTTCATTTTCTTCTAGAACTATGAATGCTTCTACTTGCCAACAAACAAAAAAATCTTCTTTTTTAAAAAGAGATAAGGTTAAGACCAAAAGAAACCCATGAAGACTGAAAACTTTGTTACAAGTCAACTTAGAACAGGACTAGCCCAGGAATGAGCAGTCTACAGGCCACACCTCTCCCCAAAGTCATTTTTTTAACTACTGGGGCTAAGAAGCTGTAATCACTAAATTCAGCACTACGGTGCCATTAGGTTATCTAATTAACTTCCAAATGTCAAATTTAGGCAAACGTGTAACTTAAACAAAACAATAAATCACTTGATAAAACGCAGACTGCTGAGAGTGACATAAGGTTATCTATGCAGAAAGGCCAGAAATACAAAGGTAACTGAACACAGTAGGACTGAGAGAAAAAGTACCAAGATGTTAGGCCACTGACGTGATGCTTACTCAGCCTAAACCCAGTTATGCCACACACGCTGTCCGCCTCATCTCGTTCCATAAGACCCTCTGCACCACGAGAGGTGACCCCATATTTGCTGTCGACTCCTGCTGGATAAAGTGAGGCCTGGCCTCCCCTAGAACTACCGTGCGGCACATGTGTATGACGGAAGCAACGCTGAAGTTAGGACATGCAGTCCAGTTTCCTCAGTGTAGCCTGGGAAATCCAGAACAGCCGATGACTTTCCCCGGCTTCTTCAATGTGAAACAACCAGCTTGCGTCACACTCTAGAGTCACACTGGCTCTTCAACATGCGCAATAAGTAGAAGCTATTTCACATGCCAGAGAGCATGACGATAAAAGTTAAATGTAGGAATCGCTGATTCAGGTCAGTCAGAGCATAAATTATGGCTTTTGATTTCGGGTGTTTCATCTCCTCCAAACTCTCTAGTAACACTTTTCTCATTCTCATGTTTATACCTGCACTATGTAAAGGGAATTTTTTTTGGCAAATGCTACATGACAAAACCTAAGATAACTCTAGTTTAAATTCTGAGTATTAAGTACTTTATATCAGAGTTGCCTAATTATTACACTAAAAGTCTAAAAATTAAAAGAAAAACTTAAGATGATAATGGCTGGCTTACTCAAGTACATTTCTATGTAGTAATGAAAAATCTAAGATTGAAGAGAAAACTCGAATTTCATTTTCCAATTTCCAAATCAGTAAGAAAAACATGTTATCCAAAGAAAAGTCTTAACCAACTAGAACAACTGAAATATACAGTTGAGAAGAACTTCTATTCATGTTTTATTATGGTAAGTTTCAAATATATAAGGTAGAGAGAAGAGTCCAATGAACCCCATGAACCCATCACCCAGATTCAGTAACTACAAACTCATGGTCAGTCTTGCTTTATTTATATCTCCCCCTAACATTACCCCCAACAACATATTATTTAAAATAAATCCAAGACTTCATATCAGTTTATTCATAAATACTTCAGGATCTCTAATAATAACGGAACTTAAAAAAAAAAAAAATCAACCACAATCCCATTATCATACTTTAAGAAAAAAATAAGAGTATGTCAGTGTTCAAAACTCTCCAATTCTGTTATTAAGAAATAAATATAAACTTGATACATACTTTCATTAGCTCCTAAAAATTGTTGTTGCAGGCTTTCAAATGTGTCACTTCCTGCTATCTCCTGGGCTGGTGAGTCATTATTCTGGGCAGAAGCCTGATAAGGTTTATATGTCACTTTATATGGTTCCAAAGCTTGACAACTAGGACCTTGTGATGTAACATATTGCTATCAAAAGATGATAAATGAAATTGACAATCAGGATTTGGCCTTCTCTTTGAAAATGATCTGAATTAGACGCCTCAATTTTGTCAGGAAATTTAATTGTGGTACCATTGCAAACTTCATACATACATCTTTGCTTAAAAATACCACTTACAGTCATTTAACACTGTTAATTAAAAGTCTATAATATGTAATTTTATGTATCTTAATTGTACTTCTGAGCATATAATGGGGCCAATTCCATAAATAACACTCAAGAATTCAAATAAGATCATATATAAATATTTAAGAATGATTTAGGTGATGCCAACATCTTGGGAACATAAAAATGTACATATTCAATAACAAGAACATGCCTCGTATATAATAAATATTCAATAACACTTGTGGAATAATTAATATTCCATAGAGATAGAAAATGACCACCTTAAAAGGATCGAAAAGTCATCCCGTCATTGGGCGACACAGAATAGCTGTTGGCAAAAAGAGAAAAGCTATTGGCAAAATCAATGTCACTCAGAAAGTCTAAGAGGCAGCCACCTATATCCTAAGGTCTTAGCTCATTAATAAACTCCCGGGGGCGGGGGAGACAAAAAATCTGTTTCTTTCCTTAACATTCATCCTGTCTACTGCTGTATCATCTCAAAACAGATAACAGATTTGAAGTATTCAACCTAAAATTTGTTATAAAGGTGGTGGGCTAGAAAATCAAGGTAACTAAATGGTATCATCTACATAGATTTGCCACTTTAAAACTATACCAAGATACCCGAACATAGCTTCTCACTGAAGCATGGTGAAGTGGTAGAAGCCAGAAGCAGCAGTAAATGAGGATGGTTATGTTTGGCAAACTTAACTTTTACCATTTAACTCTTTCTGGAAAGTCTCTTTTAAAATTCTAACTTAAGATCATGATTTCATTAGATTGTAAACAGAAAACAGCATGACTAATTCAGCACGAGCCTGAACAAAAGCACTCTCAGGGATTTTTGTACTTAAAATAAAGCTTACCATTGCACTTACATACATTTTTTAAATATACACATACACATACAAACAAATGGGTGCACACATACACACAAACTCCTGAAAGTCAAGTTCTTATAATACCTGGAAATGATTCCTTTGAGGATCTGAAAATTTAATTACATTGGTTGGTTGACTATTAAATTCCTGCTTCTGACCATTGATATATGGCCTAAAGTTTTCAGGAAGGTGATATAAATCTGTCTGTTCATAATTACTTGGAGGAGTATAACCACTTCCACCTTCATCTTGACCTTCTTTGGGATGGCAGCCAGGACGCTGGTCGTCATTTTTACTTTGACTGTCTTCCCAGCCGTTGCCACTTTTCTCTCCAATATATACATCCCGAATCTCATTATAGTCCTAGTAGATAACAAGAGTAAAACAAAGGCACTAAGATCTATTCCCACCCTCGCCAAAGTCATTATCAACTCGATACTTACATTTACACTTTGAGATTTAGGGAGCACTTGATGCTCACGCCAATTCATCTCCAATTGCTCAGAGCGATGTAGTCTTGGGAAAAATCAATACTTTAGATTTAGAGCCCATCACTTATTTGGATACAGATATCACAAAGAACCCCAAGATTTTAACGTCTTCCCTCTCTAACCTTCACCTAAAATTCTAAGAATTAGTCTACAATTTTACAACCATGTCCATTATTGCCTACAGAGAGTCAAAAGAAAGAGCCTTATAGAATTGCAACATATGAGTGCAAGTGATTTTAGGTCCTTACTCTCCCTCTGTGCCATCCTCGCTGCAGTCGGAATAGTGGAGCTCGGGGGAGGACAGGTCATCATCCAGCATATCGTGCGGCAGGTCGGTGAGTAACAGCTGCAACTGAGACAGGAAAGTCAGCATCAATATCACACTGACTGAAACATGAGATGCCAAACCAAAGTTGCCTTGCAACGAGTGACTTCGACTTGAGAAGTCAAAGACGTTCCTAACTTCTCCATTTAATAAATGTTTGAAATTCCACACAAATTATGTTCAGGGGAATGCATAATATCAGGATTTATACTAGAAGGCTTTTTTTCTACAAATGTCTTAGATTTAAATACACTTAACATTACAATAGAATTTTAAACCTTCTTTATGGAAACACAGCAAGTCATGATAATGGTACAATCACCGTATTATGTTATCATGCGGCAGACTTGGGTCTCAGAACCCTGTTCTACCAGTAATCAGACCTTGGGGACTTGACAATCACACATCCCCCTGGGAATCTGAGTAGCCAGCTCTACCTCGCCCAGGTGGTGAGAACAGTAGTACCACCAGCAGCAGCAGGTGGCCCAGAAGCTCTTAAAAGCTGTAATAATGTGATAGAAACCCCTTGGAGAGTGACTAATTAGCAGACTGCCATCTAATTCCAGCAATGAAAAGATACATGATACTCGGCTCTGGTGACACAGTTGAGTAAAAAGGGAGCTTTAAGACTCAGTTTTCGGGGCGCCTGGGTGGCTCAGTCGTTAAGCGTCTGCCTTCGGCTCAGGTCATGATCCCAGGGTCCTGGGATCGAGTCCCGCATCTGGCTCCCTGCTCCGAGGGAGGCCTGCTTCTCCCTCTCCCACTCCCCCTGCTTATGTTCCCTCTCTCTCTCTGTGTCTCTCTCTGTCAAATAAGTAAATAAAATCTTTGAAAAAAAAAAACAAACTCAGTTTTCTACAAAGCTACAGAGCACTCTCAAAAGCGTAACTCCAAACCTGACATAAAAGCATTTGATTTCACTCCCCAGTTTGTCTAGATAAATCACATCTTTAAGCATTCTACCTATAAAAACTAGGTAAATTCATTTATTGTTTCAAGATAAACAGTGATTAAGAGATGAATGGTCTAATTTATTCAATTTCAACATCTGTAAATGTCTTTCTTCAATTCCCAATATATTGTCTTAAAATTTATAGCAATCAGAATATTCAAATATTATATTACTAAACAGAAGAGGGCTGCTTATGACTTCTCTTTAAAAGCACCAGTTAAATTAACAAGTTGACTGAGTCCTCCACAGTGCATAAATGAACCCCATAAAATTATGCAATGAGGGAATTTTATTTTCTTAAATTTTTTAAAGATTGTATTTACTTATTTGTCAGAGAGTGAGCGAGCACAAGCAGGGGGAGCGGCAGGCAGAGGGAGAAGCAGGCTCCCTGCTGAGCAGAAGCCCTAATGCAGGACTTGATCCCAGGATCCTGGGATCATAACCTGAGCCAAAGGCAGACGCTTAACCAACTGAACCACCCAGGCGTCCCGCAATAAGTGAAAGATATTAAATACTCTGTAAGACATGGGAAAAAAATGAGATGCTCCTTGATCTACGGCTTAGTCTATGGCAAGTTGTTTTTACCCATTTTAGAAAAAATGAAATGTAGCTATAAAACATATCTGAGTATTACATTTACAATCAAAAACCTCCTGAAAGAAAATACATATGTGAAAAGTTAAATGAAAATATTATGGGGGCACATGGGTGGCTCAGTCAGTTAAAGGCCCCACTCTTGATCTGAGCTCAGGTCTTGATCTCAGGGTCATGAGTTCAAGCCCTGTGTTGGGCTCCACACTGGGCATGGAGCCCACTTTAAAAAAAAAAAAAAAATTATTATAAGAAAGGTCTGAAAGGAATGCTCCAATTGTTAATTGGGTTTTGAAGAAGTCAAATTTGGGAATGGAAATGGGGTATGTGAAGAGGGGAGGGGGATACTTCCTTGATCCCACATATATTTCTAATATTCACTGTATTATTTTTTTAAAAAGTTTTCTCAATCCATTGTTCTTTAAAAATGAAACAAGAAAAAATATTCTATTCCAATGAAAAGCATCTCAAAATTTATTTGATATTAATATTAATAACCAAGACCTTGATTTATTGGTCACCTGCTCATGCTGAGTAATTGAAAAACCATTCTGAGAATTAGCCATACCAGAGTTAACCCAAAGATATAAAGAATAAGAAACACAAAAGAACCACTAAAAGTTAAACACGTCAACATATTACTATACTACATGTATGCCTCAAGTGAAAGGTAGCAAAGTGATTTGAGAAAGACACAAAATTCACTAAGTAAAAAACATATATGAGGTTTTTTAAAAGTAGTCCAACCTGCTTTGTCTATAATTATGCATCACTCCTTTAAGGAAAAAGACTACTCCCACATACTACACAGAGAAAAATAACAAAATAAATCTCTCATACTTACATCAAGTAAGGACTCCCGTACAGAAAGAATATTTTCTTCTAAACCTTCAGTGAGATTCAAGTACATAGCCTTATAATTAAGGGGAACCTTGACAGGGACATCTGAAAGGTACATTTTTTCCTCTCACCTAGAAAAAGCTAAGCAGTTCTTGCAGCTTTCTCTGTGACACCACAAAATTAACAAAATTGGCATCCACAGAGGAAAATTAATTTGAGCATAAGCAATAAGTTCATCAAAATGCTTCCAGATCCACAGGTGAACTTATCAACCGGCAAAATCATCCCTATAGTATTTAGTTTCTTATAAAATATTTTACATATATGCTAACAATTCAAAAGCATTTCATTCACCTTCAAAAAATTTCTCCATGAAGTGCTTTGGCATAGCTGGGCCATATTCCTTGGCTCCCATAACTCTCAGGACAGAGGGAAGCTAAATGAAGTGAGTCCTCCTAATAAGGCCATTCAGGAATAAAATCCCACCCCCAAGGCTTCCAGTCCCAGGATCAAAGTGTGCCCTTTTCATATACACTGTCAAATAGTTTTTGCTTTCGGTCATTGAACCTTGTGCCATAAAACACAGAATTATCAGATCAATTTAGCATGTTACCAAGTAGAGATTTTTATAAACTATAAATTTTCCCCGTTAAAGGTCCACCTAGCTACCAAACAGATTCAAGGGCAAAGAGAACAATTTTTATAAATGACGACATTTAATTCCACTCATTACTTTCCCAAATTCATCAGACTGCTTTTTGGTCGCAAATGCAATCTTTTCAGTGGGATGTTATTGTGTGTCAACTGAGTTTAATAATTAAACAGACACCCCCCCTTAGAAAAAAGATCATTTGCCATTGGTAAGGCTTCTACTGAAATGCAATCTAAACCATTCCATAAACTCCTCTACCTTTACTCAAAGAACTTCAGCAGCAAAACACTTTGCAATAACCCATGCAGAACATCCAAAATGCCTATGTTTAGGGGGAATGTAAAACAGAGAACAGTGTGTAAACCTTTTGCTAGGGTTTTTTTTTTTTTAATTTTTTTAATTAACATATATTTGTTTCAGGGGTACAGATCTGTGATTCATCAGTCTTACACAACTCACAGCCCTCACCATTGTACATACCCTTCCCAATGTCCATCACCCAGCCAACCCATCCCTCCCACCCCCCACCACTCCAGCAACCCTCAGTTTGTTTTCTGAGATTAAGAGTCTCTTATGGTTTGTCTCCCTCTCTGGTTTCGCCTTGTTTCATTTTTCCCTCCCTTCCCCTATGATCCTCCGCCTTCTTTCTCAAAATCCTCATATCAGTGAGATATGATACTTGTCTTTCTCTGATTGACTTATTTCACTTAACATAATACCCTCCAGTTCCATCCACGTCGTTGCAAATGGCAAGATTTCATTTTTTTTTTGATGGCTGCATAATATTCCATTGTATATATGCACCACATCTTCTTTATCCATTCATCTGTTGATGGACATCTTGGCTCTTTCCATAGTTTGGCTATTGTGGACACTGCTGCTATAAACATTGGGGTGCATATGCCCCTTTGGATCACTACATTTGCATCTTTGGGGTAAATACCCAGCAATGCAATTGCTGGGTCGTAGGGTAGCTCTATTTTCAACTTTCTGAGGAACCTCCATACTGTTTTCCAGAGCGGCTGCACCAGCTTGCATTCCCACCAACAGTGTAGGAGGGTTCCCTGTTAGGGTTTTCAACTTAAATTAACTAAACAGACTGTCTTCGAAGACTATAATTTTCAATACTCATGAAAGCAAGAGTTCTCAGATTACAAACCATACATCTCCCCGGAGAAAAGCAGCAAATGGAGTAGCCAACATTCATATGGCTCTTAAACAGGTTACCTCATAAGTACACTGAAAAGATTCTGATATTTTAAAATGTAAATTATTAAACAGTGCTTTCATGGGTATACACTAAACAGAATCTTCATTCTAACCTAAGAGCCAAGTTAAAAACCTCCTTGAAAAGGCTCAGTATGGGAACGATAAAGGGCCAAGTAACTTGGCAGGCAGAGTTTTAGTTCATGAATTATATTACATGAAGATTTTTTTTTTTAAGTCCATTCCATTAGTTAAACTAAATTTTAGGTTAGTGGGGAAGACTGTGTCTAGATTGCCACATACCTGAAAAAGAAATACGGCAGCATCTGTTAGACAACTATCGGCTGCCCCACAAATGACACAGAACTTTAGGCCTGGAAGGAACACTGGAGCTCCTCCAAGGCAAATTTCTCCTTCTAAAAAGGAGCAAACCAAGGCCCAGAGAAGGTGAGTGGCATGCCCAGGAAAGAGAGTTACAGCTCCAGAGCCAGCAGCAGAACCTGAATCTCTCCATTCTCACTCTAGTTTTCTTCTACATGACATTTCGTTAGTCACTGGAAGACATTTATTTCTACCTCTTTGTGTACAACCAAGCTACAGTCAGCCAGAGTAATGTTTTTGTTCCCATCGTGACAGCCCCTGAAAAACACCTGTATGTTATGAGAAATATTCAAAGGTACAATCCAGATAAAGTATAAGAAATTGCTAAAGAAAAACATCAAGCATATGAATACTTAAACCATTTGTTTCTTTTTCTCCGGTGATGACAAGAAAGTGCCACTATATTATAAATAATATAAAATGTAAACAAATACTAGCTTCATAACTCCCTCTAGTGGGGACAAAATGTCAAAATCTTTCTATAATTACATCAAACAAAGGCAATTAAAAAGTAGAAGAAAGGCTGTGCAATGGAAACCCTACCTCTTTAAAATACAGGATTTCAAGCTCAAATGAGCTTTACTATTCTATTAGAGAAGCACCGATATAAAATCCAAACGGACTCAAATCAGCATGGCCAGGTGTGAGCTTCTCTCTGCCATCTGCTACTTAAACCACCTACCTTTCTCCTCAAGATCATTTTCCAGGCTTCAAATCGATCATTACTAAGTGAACCCTCATCAGCAAGTGTTATCTTGACAGCACAGATTACTAGTACTTCTGCTCCAAAATGCATACGTACATACATAGAAGCAGGCCATAATCACAGAACTGTTTCTGGGGACACTGCAGAAAAGTACATGTATATTCCAGCAAACTGGAAGATGCCAAATGACAGTCTACCTTAAGCTGTGTGTTCACCAATAACTTTGGAGCTTGTAACCACTCCTATCACAACAGTAACAACAACTATATGTCTGTAATATCACATAATGAAATCACAAAGCACACTGACTTAAGTGAAAGGTATTTTGAAAAATCACATTGTTACGTTATGAATGAGTTAATAAAAGAACTTTGAAATTCCTCTTCTCTGGGCCAGCTTTCCAAGTAAAAGTTTGCCTAGAATACTTTGGATGAGGTCTACTTAGCAGCAAAGACAACTACAGCCATAATTCTCAAATGGCACAGCAAGAAAGTAGTATGCCCCAGTAAGTGGTGAGAAAGAGGAGTGAGAGGAGTACTAACTGAAGTGACAGCATATTTCCATGGTATCATCACCCTCACTCATCTGCACCCTAATCTGCCCTGTTTACTGTGTAGAAGATGGAGTGAGGCTGTGGGTTATACTTCTCTGCTATGCGTTGGCCCACAGTGCCCAAACTTTTACCATTATACCACTGAGAACTGAGGGAATTTAGAAATGATTATAGTGCCTGACTTTTCTGCAAAACTCTTGGAGATTTTTTCAAAATATGGGTCTAATCATGTGGTTTCAGATTCCACTGGAATAAATGTCCTCTGAATATTGAATCGCTTTACTAAATGAAGTGACTATTTCCTTTTCTGAAGATTAAATGCACTTTCTCCACTCAATCTTCAATGCAAACAATGGAGGAAACAGAAATGGAAAAGGCAAGATCATAATTATAGAGCTGCTATTGAGATGGCATAGAAGTTGGAACTTGACTGTGGCTTATTCACTGACTTAGGGGCAAATGTGGACAAAATCCCAACTGACCCCAAAGCACCAAAATTAAACTCAGCAACTGGACTTCATACCAGAAGGTCAAAATCAGGATTACTCTACCACTTACAGAGAGAGGATCTCACAAATCCTTAGCAGTGTAGACTATGAGTCAGATATGGCCTGCTTGGCCCTATAATACATCCTCAGGAATATAGACATTCCTCCTACATAAGTGAATTGAATACCAAGTGATTCACTAAGTAGAGAAAGCAATATGCATTAGCCCACTACTAACACTTACAATGCAGCTGTCAATCCCAAAACTACCAACCAGGGAGCAGGAAAAGACCACTCTTTTCTTTAACCACCCAAAGCTGTGAAATGATCTGCTATGGTAGGGTCAGACAGCCTGAGGAGGTTGAAATGGCCTATGGATATGCAAACTTAGGTTTGATTAGCTGATTTATCATTTTAACTTGCAGTGACAAAATATACATAAGTTGAATTTTATGAATAATCCTGAATTTTGTTGGTGAAAATCTGAAACCCTCTAGCCTCTGATCTCTTCTTCCCTTGAAGAAATTAAAAAAGAATAAAAAGGCAAAAACACTTTTTATTAACACAAAACATAATCATCATGTCAGAGTCACGTTGGCTATACATTCTTTTCTCCCACTCTGCTAGAAACACTCATTCTTAGGTATTTCACTTCTTAAGAGCTCCTTTTCCTCTGGAAATTCCTTATCCCAGCTTATAACCAATCAAGAAGTGATCCCTAGGGCTATTTTCTATATACCTAGAATTAACTGCCTCTTTAACTAATGTCCCCCTTAAAACTTTCACCACACAATATACCTCTAATTAGTTCCCTCTAATACCTTAACCATCTCTAATATCTTTTCCAATGAAAAATCGCCTGTCAGATTATTTTTTTCGCCTTTAAAGTCTACTATAATAATTACTTAAACTGAACCCCTCAGGAATCCCAGTAGCTAAATTCCAGCAAACTATCCAAAGCCATCAGGGTCATGAAGACCTCATGCTGTGAGTTCACAAAGTAACAGAAAATCCTCACACCAACAATTGCCGTGAAGGACCCCCGTTCAAAATCCGGAAACCCTGGTCAGGGTCACAGGCGCCAATGCCCTCAGCGACCTGGCAGAGAACTGACAAGAGCGAAGTGGCAAGTCCATGTGAATAAGCCCACGTCGGTGTGAGAGGACCGTGGCCAGCTGGGAAGGGACAGCCACTGCTCAGATCCAGCCTGCCTGCTGCCATGTGCACATGTGGCCAGGGCTTAGGACGTTTCAAGACAAGCCAGATGAAATTTTCCAATCTTTAAATACAGATTGAACTTTTAAAAACACTGCACAACCAAACAAGACAAAATGTCTATGGGCAAAAATCCACCGAGCTGCCAGTTTTCTAGCTCTACCCGAAACTCTACTTCCAGCTACATGGGCAACTGACCCTATTCCTTGCTTCTTGTTGATAATAAGAGTCCACAGTAATGATTAAAAAGGATTGTTTTATACATTAGAAAATGGATTGTATCAAGCACAGTCTCAGTACAAAAGAAGACTATCATCATAGGCAATCAAGAAATCTGACTCAAACTAAAAACAACTCTAATAAATTGACTTTCACCAAGTGCTACTACTACTATTGCCCCCATTTACTCAACATGACTCTGTGCCAGGAATCCTGTTAAACTCATCTATGTATCTAAAATATAATCTTCTCAGGGCGCCTGAGGGGCTCAGTCGTTAAGCGTCTGCCTTCGGCTCGGGTCGTGATCCCAGGGTCCTGGGATTGAGCCCTGCATCGGGCTCCCTGCTCCGCGGAGAGCCTGCTTCTCCCTCTCACACTGTCCCTGCTTGTGTTCCCTCTCTCATTGTCTGTCTCTGTCAAATAAGTAAAATCTTTAAAAAAAATAAATAAATAAAATATAATCTTCTCCTCTTATTCCTTTTCCCCTTGTCCATTCACCACACAGCAGATGGTAAGATCTTTAAAAACATGATCAGATACCACTTCCCTGCTTAAAATCCTCCGCTGACTTCCCATTGCTCCTGGAATAAAATACAAACATCTTACCATGACACAAAATGATTTGGCCCTAGCCCACCTCCTCATGCTGTCTCCACACTCACCCCTTGGTTACACAATCCCCATACCACAGCCTTCTGGCTGGTCTGCAGATATACAGGCTCTTCCCAACTTGTCTGTTTTATACTCGTTGCATGTCTTGTCTTCCTCAGGCTTCTGCCTGGCTGTTACTTCTCATGAGTCAAGTCTCAGTTCAGGCATTTCCTCCTCCAAAAGGCCTTCCCTTACCAGTGCCCTCCCAGCTGCTTTAATTTCACCTATTTTGTTTCCTTAGCACTTACCAGTGCTAATTTTTAACACCCACTTGAATTATTTTGTTCATCTGTTTACTTGCTTACTGCCTGCCTCCACAAGGATGTAAGCTACCTGAAGCAAAAAACGTTGCTGGACTTGTTCAAGGCAAAGTTCCAGGCAACTAGAAACTAGGCCTCTGCCTCCAAAGCCAACCACTACCTCCTAAAGGAAAAGATCTTAAAGAATCGAACCATTTACTGTGTTTTAGTCTTGTTTCAAAAAAGGAAGCATTCCACTCAACCACCTTTTAAAAGTTCAAATACTGATCAGGTTTTAGGAGGTGACAAAAAATTACAAATTCCTTCAAAATGACTCAAGATGGTATCTTTTTGATCAGGAAATAAAACTTTAAGATTGGGTTCAGAGTCTTTTCTCTGAGAAACTTACCTCTTTCTCCCTTTCATAGTCTTCTTTGTCATACTCTTCATCTTCATTCTGTGTCTGCAGTGCCACACTGCCAAAATCTAAGGACATGGTGTTCCTGCGGAAAGAGAAAGACGCTTGCTTTCTAAGGATCCCATAAAATGTCCCCAGACCAAACTACACAAGAGATGCCACACACACGCACACACACACAGAGACAACAGCAGTCAGGGAAAAGATATATGTAACTCATGCACAACAAATGGTTGGTATTCCAAACATAAAGACTATGCTTACAAATTAACTGGGATTCACAGAAAATAGCTGTATGACAGTAACTCATAGAAAAGGAAAATGCAGGGCACCTGGGTGGCTCAGCCGGTTAAGCGTCTGCCTTGGGTCCTCTGGGCTTCCTGCTCAGCAAGGAGCCTGCTTCTTCTCCCTCTCCCCCCCCCCCCCAACTCCCCGTGCTCTCTTGCTAGCTCTCTCTCTCTCAAATAAATAAATAAAAGAAATATGCAAAAAGCTAATAAATCTGTGACTAGACATTTCTCATGGTCTGGAACGTATAACTTAAAACAGCAAGATATTTTGCTCACCCACAAAAAAAATGATAAACTAGAAATATGCCAAAACAAAAATTTTAAGAATATGCTCAGAGTTACTAATTTGGTTTATGAGATATGGCAAAGGTAGTATCCTCCACAATTTGCTTCATCCTTTGAGTATCACAAATCCGAATGTCACGTTTTACAAAGAGAGCCACTAAATGCCGAGTTAATGATCGCCACCCAAAAACCTTTACGATCTGGTAAGCTCTGTGTAGCACACGACAAAAATATCAGTGTTAAGTATTCCGCTCCTTAGCTTGATAAAATCAGCCTCTCGCAAAAAGTACTCAGGAAAAACAGAAGTGAAGAGTGTGAAGCTGTACCACGTAGTTCCAATTCCAGAAGCATCAGCAGCAGCTCTCCGCAGAATGGTTACTGCTGTGGCAGAGGCGGCGGCAGCTGCAGCAGGAGGTGGGTTTTCAGGTACTTACAGTCAGAAGCCTGCTGAACACTTGAATTATACTTAGGAATCGATGCTACACCGGAGACTACCCAGAATTTCAAAGTTCCAAATAATCCCGACAAAAAAGTAGGCAGGCGTCATCAATTACCCAGCCTAATACTGCCTTCCATTCACTCTTCTCTTCTGCATGCCGGGGAAATGCACTTTGATGTGAGCCTGAGCCACAACTCATTCACTGCATTTTTCAGGCTCTAAAATGTCATTAAACGGGAAGTGAATTAAGAAGCATAGGCCCAGGGCGCCTGGGTGGCTCAGATGGTTAAGCGTCTGCCTTCAGCTCAGGTCATGATCCCAGGGTCCTGGGATCGAGTCCCGCATCTGGCTCTCTGCTCCTTGGGAGCCTGCTTCTCCCTCTGCCTCTCTCTCTCTCTCTCTCTCATGAATAAATAAAATCTTTAAAAAAAAAAATAAAAACAAACAAACAAAAAAAAAAGAAGCATAGGCCCAGGCATCCAAATACATCTTACCATAAAGAACTTAGCTCCCTCGTGTTAACAGTTGAGAACTAGGATGACAAACTTTTATGCAAGCCAATAGCTCTACAAGCAAAAGATATTCCACTTCATCAGACCTAATGCGCCTTTGGTTGTATGACACCATTCCATTTGTACCACTAAGAAAAAGATGTGGCCAATTAAATTATGACACATCACTAATTTTAAACTGCAGCCTTTGTAGATATTAAAATTTGAAAAGAAATGAGCACTTCAGAATAGATGAAATACGGTGTTACAGACTAGCACAAATATGAATTTTAATGCTGAAAATCCCCAAACATCAAGTTTTTGTTTGTTTTTCAAGGACTGAATTATGCTTCTTGTCCAAACTGTAATCTGCAGTCCACTTCTTTATCCTTCCCTCTCTGGTTCCTACACCCAGCCCATCCCTTTCAACTCATCGACTCAAACCCCTTTCATCAACATAAACTCTTCCAGCTTCTGTTTCTTAGACCAGACTAGCTCCTTTCTATTCTTGTGCCAGAGCTAAGAGGAGGAAGGGAAATGTGCACTTTTTCACTAAGAGGGAAAATACATAAGTTTAGGGAATCTAAACCTCATCTCCATCCAACAGCTACAAAAACCTTCTTGTACACCTGCATAAGTTAGAGACCTGACTGTAAAAAGCCTATAATATAGCTGAAATGGTAAGGGGAAAAACACTCACACAAGCTCATGTCTCTAGGGTTTTTTCATTACTGCAAGTGAACATCAAGTCTACAGAATTCAACAGATAATGAAAATACTAGCCCATTTAAATCCTGGCTCCTTAAAAGAAATTAGATTAAGTTGAACCTTAAGGACATCCCTGAATTCTCTGGGCAGAAATCATCTTTCCTGCTTCTGGTATTTACAGTATTCTCCACCTCTTCCTGTATTTCACAGTTAAAGCCAGAATATGATTTGGGTTAATTTCTCCTATATTAGGTAAAAGAAAGGAGAGGTTTTTTTTTTTTCAATCCTTCATTAGCATGCCATCAATTCCTGTTGAATATCGAAAAAGAACATCAAGATTTACAACAGCCTATTGTTAAATACAGCTATTTTAAATAAAGAGCTACTTTTTTCTCAGAGAATAGTGAATTCTGCAAGGTATTTTCATTTTTAAATGAAGAGAATGTAAAAGACCAAAGCGTAAGTCTTTTGAATGGCTTTTTAATCCAAACTATGTCATTAAAGAAATTTGCAAATATCTGAAAAGTCCAGAATCTCTTTAGACTGGGGAAGACAAGATACAAATAAGTTTTCCTTCTCAAAAGTGCAAACTACTGGAGACCTTAAGAAACTATTTTGGCAGAAAGAGAAATCTGGATAAACATACTGTGGATAAATAATTAGTATTTTAACTAAAATTTAAAATAAAAGCCAATGCTTTTCCTCAACTCATTGATCACTACTAATTACCACTGTTATCAGAGACTTTACTATAATATTCAGAATAAAAGAGATTGCTTTAGAAGAAAAAATAAAATAGAAAGACAGTAAGCCCAGTAGCCATAAAGGAAAAACTTGACAGAAACTTAACCTCAAAAAATAAAATCTTTATATGGCTAACAACATCATTAACAAGTCAAATATTACATATGAAAAAATACACTAACAAGGTCAAAAGATAAAATAATGTAACATAAGAAAAATATTTGCAAAACACATGACAAAGTCCCAATATACAACTTTCAAAATGAAATAAGAAAAAGACAACCCAATTTTAAATGGGCAACTGACATGACAATTCATTTAAAAAAAAGAAATGTTAAATGTTCAATTAACTTAAAAGATGTGTAAGTTCATGAAGAATTCACAGTGTCATTTAAACATTGAAATGATTTTCAACTACTAAATTAAAAAAAAAAAAGTTAATAACACCTAGTGGTGGCTATTTTGTAGGAAAGAGATATCCTCATGAATTGCTGGTGAAACATATGAACTGCAAAAACCATCCTGAAAACTACCATATGAATATATTGAAAAATAACACTTGTCCTAGTAAAAGTACCTTTAAATAAATTTGGTGATACTATACTAACAAGAGAAATAATGACATCTCTATTTACTGACTGATCACTAAACAATCAAGATGCAGAATAAGTGTAGTGTATGCTTTTTTTTTAAAGTTAGTACTTTCTTCCCAGCTAACTTTTTCTGAACCTATTAATAAGACTATGTTCTTTTTTTGTTGTTGTTTGTTTTTTAACACTCAGATCAGAAGAGCTCAGTCTCAATACTCATTTTGTTGTTACTGGTTATGTTTCTTTTGCCCTCCTTGCAATGAGAGGGAAAACCAATGAGTGTTTAGTTGGACAAAATATCAAAAACCAAAAGCACTGTTTTTGTCTCATCCAAAAACCTGTAAGCTCTCTGAAGGCAGAATTAAAATGCAGGTCCCCCACGTTTTGCACAAGGCAGGCACACAATAAGTATTTGTTGAATGAATATGATACATTCATGCCGCCCTCTAGGATTCATTATTTCAATAAAATTTTCCTCGGCATCTACTGTGTGCCAGTTTATATCCTAGATGTATCTAAGACATGATACCAGCCATGGGGAGCTTACAGTCCCTTAGAGAAACAATGATATAAATTAACAGTTACCATGATACATTGTAATAAGTTCTGTAACAGAGAAGGGTATAAAGCACAAATTAACTTTGACTAAGAAGACAGGGCAGCTGAGGGAAGTTTCACAGAAAAGACTTTCGGTTAGAAAGGACACAATACTGCTGGAAGTGGTTAAGAATAAGGGCACTCATCCAGACAACCTGGGCTCAATTCTAGCTCTTCTATCAGCTGTGCAAGCTTGAAGACACTGCTTCCATTTTCTCATTAATAAAATGGGGGTAAAAATAGTACCTACCTCAAAGATTGGTTATGAAGATTCACAAGATAATGAACATAAAGTGCTTAGCACTATGTACCCATCGATACATTTTAGTTTTGTTACCTATGAATAGGAGTCTGCAGCTACAAAAGAGGCAAACAAAGAGCATTCAGGACATCTAAGAAAGGTGAATATGCTGTCTGTGGGAAACCTTACTTCAACTAACACAACCTCTTCTGGGATGAAAATGCTACCTCCTTCAAGATGCCCTCCCAATCCTGTTGCCCTAGGCAGGAGGGGAGGATTTTGCACTTCCAGACTATGTTTCTTATACTTTTCTTACAGCTTCAATTTCAGGCTCTCACTCAGTTGAATACATTTACGTATGTAGGAAGCACATATAAATTGCCACGCATTGTGAAGGATATGGTGAAATTCAGCTTAAATCAGACTCAAGTTCATGACCGTAAGATAAAAAAGGTTAAATGCCACAAAGGGGTTAGTCTATAAATGCCCTAGGAAATTCTACTTACTTGGTTACATGCTAGCTTCCCTTCTAGAATGAAAATAGCCAGAACACACTAGCCTGTTTTAGACTTGCGATACCAGGCTTAAGAGGCCTGGTCATTTATCCAACAATTATTTACCATGCACTCAAGATTACAGAGCTTAACAGGACTTGGTAGAGAAAAAGAGTATAGACATTTAAACAAATGATGACGACAATCTGTGATCAGTGCTAATGACAGCAGCTTGGACAAATCGATTCAAGGTGCCTGAAGAATGCAGCAAGTAGGCACCCACAGGCTGAACTACAGAATCAATCAGCGGCCTTACCAAGGAACTCCGTTTGGCGTCAACTACAGCACAACAAACAGGTACCGCGAAAGCGAAGCTGTAGTGCCTGCACCGGACGCCCTGGGGCTGCTGGCTTTGGCTGGCTTTGGCTGCCAGCGTCACATGCACTCGGTCAACACACGTGTACAGAGCACCCACTGTGAGCCAGGCGCGGCGCCAGGGCGACCACAGCGGGGGTCCCCAGGATAGGGTCTCAGGGTTTCCCCCGCAGCCTGCAGGGGGCGAGGAGGGCTTCCCACGCGTCACTAGCAAGGAGAAACTCGGGGTCTCGCTGACACTTCAAAGTCAAAGCCTGAGTCCCGCAACCCGCGGACAGTCCACCACCACGGGATCTGAGGAGGGGGCGGGTCAGCCCTTGGGAAGCCACAGCCAGAATCCGAGGACCCCGCACCTCCTCCAACCCCAGCTCCAAGCCCAGCCGCGAAGCGAAACTCACCGGAGACCACGGATGCTGCCACCACGGGGAAACCCTAGTCCCCGCCAAAGGCGGACTTCTAACAAACCCCCTTACCAAGGACTCTAATCCGCTAGCTCCTTCCTCGTCACAACCGAACCCAGAAGCGCTGAGGCCATTGACGAGCAGCCGCCTCCTTCAATCGCCGGCTAGAAGCTGGCTTGGGGGCGGGGCCATGCCGGCTCGAGGCGGGTCGTGGAGACGGAAGTCTCCGCCTTTCTCAAGCTTGGTTGAGAATTCCGCCTGCAGTTGCGAATGTATGGCTGTTTGAAAGCGGGCGCCAGAGGTGGCGGGAATGTCCTCCTGTGCGCCCATTGGTGGATTAGTGAGCCAATTACGAAAGGGTCTACTCTAGACGGGGCGGGTTTACGGTTGCTTAGAGATGCCAAGCGCCGGGGTTTAGGCCTCTGGTGGGGATGAACCAGTCTTGCCCCTTCCTGTACCTCCTGCACCCCTATGCCCCCCTCGCCCCGCGCTTTCCATTCTTAAACCTCAATTCTCGGTTGCAGCTCCCAGAATCCCCCACTTTCCCCACCGAACCCTTACCTTAAAGGGTTTTGCCCCTGCCCTTCTGATTCTCTAAGGTGCCTGCTTCCCCATCACCTAAACAGGCTTAGATGTAGTTTTGCTTGTTTCTTTCTTACTGGGTCCTGCCTTGTTTGAATTTGTGTTTCTTTCATTACCGATGAGATGGCACATTTTCCCACATGTTTATTCACTATTTGAATTTCCCCAAGTGTGAATGTTCTTGCCACTTTAGGTATCTGTTAACCCGTCCTTTAAGACAGCGCTGCCCAGTGTGCACTACATCAAGGAGTTGGTAGCACTAGGTTCACGTATCTTCTTAACTCTTTCCCATGCGTATGAGAAAACTCTTTCCAATACAGTATGGAGTAAAATGGTTAAGGCACTTCATAATCCAGCTAGTTTTCTTTTGCCACCTCACCATCCCACCCCTGTGATGCCTACACTAACCCCCCGTTACCCCATCAACTAGCATAAGGTTATGCCACATAATAAGTACTCACTCAATCCATAGCAATAAGTGACTGAAATTACTGGCTGAGCTGTCAACTGTTCTCAGGGTGTTTTTGTTTTGCTCAAGCTCTTTCTTTCACCTGTATTGCCCTATCTTTCTATCCACTCAGTCTTCAAGATAGAAGAGCACCTCCCCTGAAACCTTTCATGACACACTACCCCCCCCCACACAGAAATGATCCTTCCTACATCTGTACACAATATACATAACTTATTATGTTTCTTATTATCTTCTATAATTAGTTGTGTGTCTGTTTTATTCAGTTCAAGTTAATATCTTGAGGTACTTACATTACTTCTTGGACATCAAGCATGCTTCATGGTACCTGGTAGGCACTCAAAACAAATTGGTTAAATGAGTAAATAAATGAATGAACAAATAAATGAAGGCTTCTGTGCCAGAAAATGTGAATAACAAACATTCAGGTAAATGGCAGTTGTTGAAACCTGAGCCAAGGCATCTGTCAGTGGGAACTAGGCTTGGGTTAAGATGGAATGCTACAGCAAGGATGCTAAGTGATTCCTGTTTCTTACAGAGATGAACACATAAAAGATATAAGGGGGTGGGGCACACGAGGAGACAATGTTTATAATCCCTTACATAGTGCTTTAGAATTTGGTAAGTTCTTTCACAAACACTAGCTCATGTGGTCCTTATAACAAACCTGTGAGGGCCTAGGACAGGTATTCATATCCCGTTTTACAGCAGAAGAAACGGACAAAAAAAAATTTTGACTTGTCCAAGGCTACACAGCTAATGTGAGACAGAGAAAGAATTTGAGCACATCTCCTTTACCTTCAAATATGTCACAAAAGATGCAAAGTAAAGAATAAATCAGAGCCCCTTGCCTCTAAAAATGGATTTGGGCGAAGTTATGGTATAATCAATGGACTTTTCTTGACTGCTTATCCTGTTTAGTTCCTCGCCTAGATGCTTGAATATAAAGTGTGAGGCAGGACCCCTCCCCTCAAAGTACCTATTCTCTTTGGCAGTGCAAGATGCTTACATAAGAAGACACACGTGTGCGTACACACACACACACACACACGAACCACAAAATAATAGTTTACTACATGCCACGTAAGAATAGGTGATGATTCTGGGGAAAAGTGAACATCAAAGAAAGGATCTATCAGACAAAGTTCTTGGAGGAAGAGGAAAAGAGAGTCAACAGGAAGGTTATTAGCATGAGTGATTGCAATGTGAAACCAGACCAGCAAAAGTAAAAGATTCTTATATTTATGGGGCACCTGGGTGGCTCAGTAGGTTACGTGTCCAACTGGAATTTGGCTCAGGTCATTATCTCAGGGTCCTGGGATCAGAGCCCCGAGTTGAGCTCCCTGCTGAGCGGTGAGTCTGCTTGTCTCCCTCTCCCCCTCTCTCTGTTTCTCTCTTTCTCAAATAAATAAATCTTTTTTTAAAAAAGGATTCTTATATTTAGAGATAAGAGTGGAAAAGTGGGCTGGAAGGGAGGCAGCCAGTAGAAGAACTTGATGCCTGAAGAAATGCAAAAGGCATGCTACAGAAGTAAGGTATGGTGTACACAAGGAATGAACTTAATAACATGTCCAGAGAAACACAAGTAAAATTACTCCAGAATGAGTAATAAAAATAAATGTGGGGGAAGAGAGAAAAACTGCCAAAGATCTTATGTGCTGGACAAGAGATTATTTCTGGAATGTCGGGTCAATATTTATCTTGCCTTTTTTAAGCAGACACACCTGTGAGCTGGGAGGGACGCTACTTCTACCAGACTTGTTTACATTTCAAGGGGAAATGTCATGCTGTTGATGGGACGTGGTCCTTCCCATTCAGAACATCTATAAAGGTGGGGCTAAACCATCATTCCTCCTTTTTCCTACCTTCTCTTTTGTGTCAAAGCTTATCAGGTCAAAGCAAAGCCATCATGAAATAAGGAGTGCTATCCTTAAAAGAGCACTGAACTTAAAGAAGATCTGAGTTCAAGTTCCAGCTCTCCTATCTACTAGGTTTTATTCACAACAGTTTATTTAACCCCTCTGAGCCTCAAAGTTCTTATTTAAAAAGAGGAATGATAATATCTACTTTGCAGGATTATAAAAAGGATGAAGTAAGATTATGTGAAAGAAATTCTAAAATGTAGAAATGCTATTTAACTGAGTGTTAATTAACTGAGGGAGATCAGACCATTATTTGCAGTATATTCATTTAATGTTTTTTTGAGCATCCACTTTGCACCAAGCACTATTCTAGGGGCTCATTTAATATTGATTCATGGGTCAAAATGCCTGCCCTAATTAAGCCCCTAATCGCCGGTTCTACTCCTGCCCACAGGCACTATAACTTCACCACCGTCACTTCCCCACCACCCTAAGACCTGGCCATACCTGACTGGGTCAAAGGTGAGCACCAGACCCAAGTTGGGCCACTCATCTTCCCTCCCCAAGTAACTGAAATAAGACTACATGAAACTGAGTCAGGTGGTAAACATACAGAAGAGAAGCAGACTTTTATTACAGTTGTCTGTATTTTATGGAAAATACACTTATTTCCATATATGGAAGTACATGTATATGGCAGAGCTTAGACTGAAGATCATGAACTTCTGGTACTCAAAGCCATGGATCTGCCTGATTCTTGCACTTTGTGAAGCCTGACAATTCAGCTTTTCCTTGGGTCCTATGATAACCTGAACCTTAAAACAATCTTTTGACTTGAGCTGATTCAGGTCATTTAGGAGTTGAATAGTGTCCCCCCGAATTTCATGCCCACCCAGAACTCAGAATGTGACCTTATTTGGAAATAGGGTCTTTGCAAATGTAATTAGTTAATACAGATGAGGATGGGTCCTAAATCTAAAACCGGTGTCCTTAAAAGAAGAGAAGAAGAACCTGAAACTGATGTAACATCATGTGTCAATTATACACACGTGCACACAAATATATGCATTATTGTAGTACAGGTTCACTTTTAAAATTCAATTTTTAATTTCCTAAAAAAAAAAAAAGAGGCAAGAACACAGAAAGACACACAAGGAGAAGACAGCCATATGAAGATAAAGGCAGAAAAAGGAGTTATGTCACCATAAAGCCAAGGAACACCCAGGGCCACCAGAAGCTGGCAAGGGATTCTTCCCCAGAACCTTCAGAAGGAGCATGGCCCTGTCAACACCCTGATTTCCGACTTCTACTCTCCAGTACTGTAAGGGAATAAAGTGCTGTTGTTTTAAGCCACCTAGTTTGTGGTACTTTGCTGCAGTAGCCCTAGGAAATTAATACAAGTGGGTTTTCATTCCTTGCAACCAAACAGTTGATGCATTTGTGACAATAGATTGATTGTATTTGAATAGTCTAAACCGGTGATTCTCCAAGTATGATCCATGGCCCACTGGTAGACCTCAAGGATATTCCTGATGGTTCATTAAATGATACTGACCACATAAGTTGTTTCTTCAGTTCTCATGGGAAAATAATTTGCAATTTTATAGGTTTTTATTTTTACATACAACTAAGGTTTACCTATTAGGAATCTACCAAGTAAAATAGGAGGGATTGCTAATGTTTAGAATTTGTAAGTTAAAATTATCACATTATTTAAGCTCACCAAGAATGGTGTTTCATCATTTCTATGTGCAACATTATAAAACTCCTGTTCATGCATACTTGAAGATAACTGAAATACCCACTTTTGGAAGAAGGGTGTAAATAGTGTCATTCCCAGGAAACTGTGGGTTTTAAGAGAAGTAATTCCCGTGTCTTAGTTATGAACCCTCTTTGCTTGGCTTCATCAACATCAATTAAGTTTGTTGTAAGCTGTTGGGTTAACTCAGCTGTGTGTAGTGTTAACTACTTTAATTCATGAATTTACACTTTTCCTATAACTTGACTTTAAAATAATATTCAAGTTCAGGTTCAAAT